TAATACGCTATAGCTGTGCAAATTGTCTATTTAAATATAATCTCTCGATTAACGATCTTATACTCTTTGTGGTAAGGTTGAAAATTGTGTGAGCGGGAGCATCGGTATTGTATGTAAATGTAGTTCTTGATTATATCGCCAGAGGCGCTGGTGCGTAGTATAGTTTCTTGGTTTAAAGACAGTAAGAATAAGATAACATTACGCTATTTATTTTCTAAAGTGTTAGGTAGGCTTACAACGTATGATGTACAGTACCCCGTACAGGATTCAAACCCGCGACTTGTTTCTTGTTTTGAGACTTTACACTACTCCACTTTATTATTAATATGAATAAATGCTCCGAGGTCCTTAACACAATAACGTTACCTAACAAAAAATGTAGCCTTCATTATGTTACCCTTTTTTGTCAAAGCGAAGTATAGGAAATATTTGCCGTCTGAGGCCTTAGTACGAGCACTTTTAACTCGTCGAGTACCGGTTTTGTAGACACAATTATAGAACAATAGGTTGCGGTCACCGGTGACCGCTTGGTGTTTGACAGTTTAACGCGTTCGACGTTCTGATTGGTTGGTTCATTGGCGCCGGCCAATCAGAGCGCCGAACGCGGTCTTGTCACGATTACTTTTAACGTAAAAAAACTCGTACTAAGTCCTCTGATCTTTTTTGTTCTACCTACCTGATAGATTTGTACCTAGGAAATAATTGTTTTTGTAGTGAAATTGCATTCGAAAAACGGCCAATTTAATGAAAATAAATGTATCGTGGTATAAAACATGTTATATAAATGTTTTACTTCGAACAACCATTCACCGACGCCCACAAAACCTTCGACCTTCACGTATGGTACGCACTTATAACAATAATAAAGTAAGTTGACAAAATATAACATTCAGGCAAAATTGAACTTTGTTTTCAACAACAGTTAGGTTCAATTTCCCTCGTGCTCTATAAAAATAATAAAAAAAATATCCTTACTGCTAAGATTATAAAATTGATTTTCATTTACAAACACATCGCTACACGGATCGCTATTGTCATAACCGCAATCAAATCAATACAAAAACTGGCCTTAACGCATTTAAACAAGGTTTAAAATCAACCAGCAAAATTATGTCAGTTTAGACATTCTTCGTCAATTTACTCAATTACACATATAAGGCGCACCATACACGTAATAAAAGAAATAAATGAATTACTCTTCATTGGGGAATTTGGTCACGGCATCGTGCATAGCCCTGGCCATGTACTGAACGTTGGATGGGTTTAACCCACACACGTTAATACGGCCAGATTTCAATAGATATATGTGGTATTCTTGAATTAGGTATTCCGCTTGTCTTTGGGTCAACCCGGTGTAGGAGAACAGACCGATCTGCTTGACAATGTGGTCCCAATTGCCTGGTGTACCGAGTCTGAAAAAAATTATGGTTAAAATTAACTTGCAGAAAAGATATTTTTAACAAACTTTGTTTTACACTTAGTTTTTATACTGTGTCGTGAGTGCGTTTACAAACATACAATTTCATAAACACATGTCACGTAGACCAGAAACAACAATTTGTGGATTATATAGAGTTGCATCGTACGGGAATTGAACCCGCTACACGTTGCTTAGCAGTCAGTAATTGAGCCACCGTGGCAACTATGCAGTCATTTTAGCAATCAAAAGAATTGAATATCTTGTTTCTATCTTGATACGAGTTAGTTGTTTCTCAAGCGAACATAATTTGTGAGCTCCAGTATGGCACGAAACTAGTTGAGCAACGTCGAAGACGTATATTCTAATTTTAATGAATAATAAAAGAAATTACTTGACAAGTTCAGCCCTCAAAGCCTCTCTCATTGCCGTCACCCTGGACGACATAGCTTTGATGTGGTCCTTCCTGCAAAATTGAAAATTCTCATAATATATCAGCAGATAAACCATAGCGTAGTGACAAAGGCCTTAGTACAAGTTTGTTTTACGTTGAATTTCAAGTAATCGAAACGTGTACGCGTTCGGCGCTCTGATTGGTTGGTTTAATGGAGTCGGCCAATCAGGGCTCCGAACGCTTACACGATTTGAATATTTTAAATTAAACGTTAAACAATTTGAACTAAGGATTGAAAATGGAATGTTATGACGATTTGGACATGTAGAAAGGATGGATGAAAGTACATTTACGGCAAACAAAAAATATTTTCGTACTGATGCCACGTGAGACATACGAGTATTTATAATTAGAGCTCTTATCAATGCCAGCTTCAAACATAATACCACGTGCCTTTTAACAGATAGAAAAAAGAAATTGTTATGTTAATTTTTGCATCTACAAGGTGTTGCATTTTTCTGTTACATCTTGATTTTAAATGGACAATAAAACAGTACTTGTATCTTTAAATTGGTCGAGCATTCTCCTCGAAAAGTTTCAGTTCAATTGGTTAAAGACATCTGGTTGAAAATCGAGTTGCAAGATTCCACTTCACACGTACATACACATATATACGTCCTCCCAAACTTTCGCATTTATAATATTAGTAAGATAGTAAGATGTATAGAGTACTGTAATGAGTAAGCCAGTGGATGCAGGTAGCGAGATGTCGATCGAGGTGGAGGACTACGGGGGAGGCCTGCGTCCAACAATGGACGTCTATCGGCTGATGACTAGTAAATTGAAACTAGTAAATAGCTGCTAGCTGCTAACTAACTGCTGCTGCTAGCTGGTAACTAGTAAATTGTATTGTGAACATGATTGAAAAAGAGTAACCTATGGAGTTTCTTACTCGTTCTTCTCCATAGGAATCTACACCTTGGAATGAGCAAATAGCTTCACTTTTAATATTTATTTTTTTTTGACGTTCAATAGTGCCATTCTGGCCTAATTGAAATAAATGATTTTGACTTTTTTGACTTTTTGATGATGAGGATGTATAGAGTACTGACCATTCGTCGAAGAGTTGTTTGTTGGCGAGCACGTTGGTGACGACGCGCGCGCCGTGCGCGGGCGGGTTGGAGTACATGCCGCGCACGATCCACGTCAGCTGCGACCGCAGCGTCTGCACCACGGACGGGTCCGACACCACCACGGCCAGGTTGCCCACTCGCTCGTCTGACGAACAAACAACAATGCTCATCTTATACTATTATATACACCGGTAGTTTGTTTTTTTGTTTGTATGTTTGTTTGTTTGTTTGTTTGAACGCGCTAATCTCCGTAACTACAAGTCTGATTTGAATAATTCTTTTTGTGTTGGATAGCGCATTTATCGAGG